TGAGGTTCAGGTTGGAATCGACAAAACGGTACCTTTAGCGGCCTGTAAAAGGCGCGGAAGCGGAATTGAGCAAAAACCGATTGGTGCATCTTGTTCAGCAGAAAAAGCTCTTTCGAATGAGCCTTAATATATAGCAATTACAGATAATTTGTCAAAAAGCTTCTTTTTAATTCAGAGGTAAGGGTAGAGCCTGTGGAAGTCATCGAAGAGATTTCCGCGAAATCATCGTATACTTTTTGAATGATAGCTCATTCGAAGAGTTTTTTGCTGAAAATGCACCAATCGGTTTTTGCTCAATTCCGCTTCCGCGCCTTTACAGGCCGCTAAAGGTACCGTTTTTGTCGATTTTGCCAACTTGAAGCCTCAAACTTTTTCTCCGTTTCATTTAGCAGATTCTGATTACAGATTCTGAATCCCCGTGTTCGACTCTATCAGACCCACTTATTTTGAAAAAGAAAGGCCACCTTAAGTTCGTGCACTTCCCTTGTTAGCCCCCGCGTTCGCGTGCCATTGCAATATTCACTCAACAAATTATGGCGGCCGAACGTGAGATATTCGCCCCCGGCAAATTTATTCCACCTCCCTCGCTAATGACGATCAGCCCGATTACGTCGCATACGGTGCCCAGGGGCCGGGATGCATAATAGAATTCGGGGCGTGTCGGCGAGTTGTTGCGAACAGGTGTCTTTTAGGGGTACAACGGCGCTGGGAGCTTCAATCAAGTTCAAATCCGGGCTCAAAGTTTTCCAGACGCGTCCCATTCGGCATGCTCGAATAGACGGAAGTTCCTCATCCCGTGTTGTCCCCTATTTTACGCCCCATTTCAGTAGCTGAGCACTTCCAGAAAAAGACAAAAAAGAGGAAAAGGCGCCCTGAAATTTTCTCCCACGCTGGTTGAAAGTTTCTTCTGGTTTCGCACGCTGGTCTTTGGGGAGGGTTTTGTTCTAATTTTCGAGTTTTCTTGAATCTTGCAAAAAGACAGGCATAATCCCCATCGCCAAAATCCCGACAGGCAAAATACCGACAGCCACAATACAGACAGCCATAAACAGCTAAAATCACAACAGCTATAATCCCGTCAAAACTAGTCTTTTTAAATCTTTTTCGGTCCTCAAAAAAACCGGAGCTCTATTTTCACCTGGCCAACTTTTCCGCTTTTTCCGGGGGGCACACAGACGCATTTGTGACGCCGGTAAAAGCAGGAGTGGGGGGAATTCCCGCGGTGTGTGTGGGTGGGAAGGGAGGGGCAAGGTTTAGGAAAATGAGTGGCACTCGGCCAGGCCCCCGCGGCGAGCGTTGGACATTTTGCTAAAAATGTCTTTTTTGGCACAAAAGCCAAAATCCCGACAGCCAGGATAGCTTTGTCAAAGGCAGCGGCATTCCAACTAGCGTCAGGAATATGTCGGGATTTTCTCTGTCGGGATTTTGCTGTCGGCATTATGGCTTTCGGCATTATGATTATAGGGATTTTGCCTGTCAGCATTATTTCTGCCGGGATTTTCCCTGTCGTCATTATGGCTATCGGATTTTTGTTGTCGGGATTTTTTCTCTCTCGGGATTTTGACTGTCGGTATGGTCGGTATTCAGATTCTGTCTGTCGGTATTTTGGGCCGTGTGGTTTTCGGATATCGGGATTTTGGCTGTCGCGATTTCGGGGTTTTCTGGCTTACACTTGCAGGTTCCTTTAATTCCCCCTCTTGGACTAACCCGTGTCGAGAGGTGCAGCTACTCCCTAAATAGTATGGGCGAGTGGGTCGCGTAATTTGGGGGTTTGCAGATTTCGGATGCTGTCACTTTTTTGCAACGTACAATTAGTAAAAAGCGGGTTTTTCAAGTCTGGTTTTTTATCGCCAGGTTGTAGTCTTTTGGAAATTTGAAATGCCGCTTTTGCATTGCCCCCGATAATGCGAAAGTACCTATAATGAAAGCTTTAAGAGCAGGGTTTTTCTTTTCGCTAGAAAATAGCAGTTAATTGGCGTTTTTCCATCTCGTTTGTTCTGCGGGTCGCCGATTTCTATAGCTGTAGATTCGGGGCTTTTTGGGTATTTTGTTGAGGAGGCGCTAATTGGGCTGCCCAGGTCGGTGGAGAGAGAGAGAGAGAGAGAGAGAGAGAGAAAGAGAGAGAGCGAGATAGAGAGTTGGCCATTGTGTCTTGGCACTGGCCCAGGTGGGGAATTTGTGGCATATTTGTGAATCCGTAAATCCGCTCCTCCTCTTGCTCCAATTGTTTTCATGATCAGGCGGTATAATTTTTAATAGCTTCAGTTTTGTGTTTTAAAAACGCTAAGAAGCCTTCTTTTTTGTCAAGCCTCCTAATAACGTTATAGCAAGCATTGTTATAGTGTTATAGCGTTAGCAAAAGTAACCTTTAGTTCAAGTAGAAAATCCATCTAAAAACTTTAGAAGTTTTTTAAAAATCCAAACGTTCGTCGAAATTCAGCCATTTTTGCAATTTTAAAAATTGCCTGGAAATTCAGTGCTCTAGAGACCGTTACGACATGTAATTCCGAAGCACCCAAAAAGTCAATTTTGTGCCCGGATTCGTTCGTTGTCCGGAAATCAATTTTTCCGGGCTTTTCGGCTGTTCCGCTTTAGTTTTTGACCTATTCTCTGTTCCGCACGCAAACATGCCATTTTGGGTACCGGGCTGTTAGCGGGGGGAGATTTTGATATTCTTGCAATTAATCTATGATGTATTTTTAATGTTTTTAATGGCTTTGTTGCTAGGAAATTATAAAAATCTGCAAAAAAAAATCTGAAAAATTGAAAATTTTGGCTTTTTCGACGTTTTTCATGATTTTTTTGACTAAAAATCATGAATTTTTGAAAATATTTTATTTTATCCAAAAATTGTGCAAAATGCTATAAACTAGGTTTATATTTTGTTATCTTATACTATTGGGAAAAATTATGCCACCCCCCCGCTAACAGTATAGTACCCATTTTCCACATTCCAGCCCCTTTAAAATGTAATTTTCTAGATAGCACTGTCTGGAATCGTGTGTTGGAGTTGCTCGTTGGCTACGAAAGGCTCCTTGCCACGCTTTTATCGTATGCCCTGGCTGCTGCTGCTCTTTTTGTCCCGCTCCTCCTCCTCCGCAGCCCTTAAAAATGTCAATCTTTCCAGAATTGTAGCGCGATTTCGCCAAAAAATTTCATCAGCGGGCCCGACTCCTGCCGAGCCCCCGGGCGTTAAAAACGTCTCGTTAGCAACGGGTGCCAAAAATTAATTCGTATTCCCACAGCCGGGAGTTCCAATCAAGCCCCTGCTTGGCCGAAAATCCTCCTTTTTCGTGGCACCAGATCCTTGGTTTGGCGCGACATCATTTGGAATTACGTTGATGCCCTTTTTACACGGTTTCGCCCAAGATTTGGAAGGTATTTTCGCATTTTTGAGGTATAAAAATCCAATACTACTAGATTTTTAAAAATCTAAATTTTTGAAAACGTCATAAAAATGCTATTTATTATTAACAGCTATCGATAATCGTAAAAGAAAAATTATTTTCCCCACCCCGCTAGCAGCTCAGTACCGAAAACCGAAAAAAATTCTTTCCCTCTTGGAAGAATTCAGCCACGATCCCTAAAAAATCCCGACAGAACAATTTCGACTGCCATGATACCGACAGTCATAATGCCGACCCAAAAATCCCGACACCCATGGTCCTGACAGCAAAGATCACGATATAAAAATTCTGACAGGAAAATGCCGACACGTTCATGACGCGAATTTGAATGCCAATTCGTTTTTAAAGGCTTTTGGCTGTTGGGATTTTGGATTTGGATGTCGGGATTTTCGGCTGTCGGTATTATGGTTGGCGGGGTTATGGCTGTCGGGATTTTGGTCTGCCGTTTTTGATTTGGATGTCGGGATTTTTGGCGGTCGGGACTATGGTTGTCGGTATTTTGCTCTTTCGGAACGTTGGCTGTCGGGATTTTGGATGCCGGTATTTTGGATAAAAGAGTTCTGGTTGTCGGCATTTTCCACTCTTACCTCATCACCCCAGACCGCCATTCTGTGCTTTTTTGCGCTTTTTGAGTGTTGAAGTGGGAGGGGGAAGGCAAAGCAGAAGCTGCCTCGTTTTGCCAGCTAATCCCTCCAGGCGGGCCCCCATTCAGGTGTGCTTCTCCACCTCCACACCGCTTCTCCTTCTGCTGTTTTTTTCCTATTTTTCCTCTGGCCTTCGCTTGCGCGTCCCTTTAATCCATGCGCTGCGCTTTCCACGCGCTTTTGGCGGCCATAATTTGTGGATGGGTAAAAGATCAGCTACGGCCCGTGGTTGTTGATTGTTTTCGAGGGGATTTCGGGAGGTTTTTTTTTGAGGTTTTTTTGGCTCCGTTGAACTCCTTTAAACGTCTTTTTCCTTGTTGTGGAAAATTTGCATTTAAATTTAGATATTTTTAGCTTGAAATACGCACAAAAAGGTGGACTTAATACTCTTTTCCATTATGGGGGTCCTGCAAATTCTTAGCTCAATCAAGAAATGCCTAATAATGTAATTAAAATTGGGTTAGGCCTTTTTCTAGGAAATTTAGCTACATTTCAAGCGGAAAACTATCTTAAAAGTTTTAAATTTGCAAAATTCGAAATTTTGGCCGAAAATCGATTTTTTTATATTTGTGAACACACCAAATTGAAATTTTCGCCTTTATTAATAGTCGGAAAATAGATTAAGACACTTCCTTCCTTTTATAAGAAAAATTGGACATTAAAAAAATGGTTCTGCCAGATACCCACCCTCCCCCCCCCCCGATAATGCAAAAGAGCCAGAATTTGTTAAATTTCAATTAGAAGGGCTATCCAAGACAATTTAACAACTCTAAAAATATAAGCCTTGGTCGAAAACCGATGTTTTTGCATTTTTTAATTAAAAATAAACGAATTTGCACCCCCGATTAATCACTAATTTCGCGGTATTTACCTTGTTTTCCATTCTCCGCTGTATTCTAAAAGCCGCCCTGCCTACAGTAATCGAATAATTCGCAGGGGCGCAACCGTGATGTGCGTGGAGGGTTCCCCTCCCCTACTGCCCATCCGCTTCTGGCTGATCGGGGTATGCGGGTGCGCGTTGGCGTTATTTGGGCTGATGGCCAACGCCATGCTGGCCGCCCTCTTCCTGACGCGCAGCCATTATAGGTATATTTAAGGATTTGAATTAATTAAAATCAATCTATAAATTTTAGGCATTCCCCCTTCTTCTTCCTCGGGTTCGTCGCGTTTTTCGACACGCTGTTGGACGCGACATATGTCATTTTATTGGTAAGCTAGCATATTTGGGGCTTTGGCAATAACGGGGCGGAACAATTTTATTTCCGAAATATTGATTTAAATACCAAAAATATCGATTTCTCGTCTAAAACTATATATTTTTGCCTATTCTTTGAATTTAAAATTTTTCTAAAAGGTTTCTTGTGCTTCAAGTACAGCTAAATTTTGTAAATTATTTTTATTATTTTTCTATATTTATTTTTGGCGATTCCTAGACGTACAAAGGGTACAAATTTTTATTGACATAAAAACAGAATATATCGATTTTTCGATGAAAAATGACACCAAAATTCACAAAAATATGGCTAAATTTTGTCAGAAACAGTATGAATTAAATTAAGTGCGCTTGTTCTCTATGAAAAACTTCTGTCTCCCCGATATTGCGAAAGCTCCGGTTATTTATGAAAATTTCCGATATTTCTTTTCAGGCGGTCCCCGTCGAGGCGCAATACTACCAAAACTTGGGCCTCTACCTCTTGTGGCTACAGTATATGCCCGTCATCTACGTGCTCGGGCAAATCTTTAAAGTATCATCCGTGCTTTGCCTCGTCGTGGCGTCGATCGAAAGGTAAGTAACGTTATTTTAACGTTCAAAAGTAGGAATGGTGCTTTTCAACTTAAAAATATCGTGAAGATATTTCTTTTTAAGATACTGCCTAACGAAACATTGGACATTCACCGGTTTTGAGAGCCGGACCCGGTGGATTGTGCTGGCGATCGCGCTAATTTCGGCAGTTTCGCTGAAAGTTATCACATCGGTAGGTGGATGCCGGGTTTCGTGCAAAATTTCGAAAATCATAATGTCGAAATTCATAATGTCGAAATTCAGAATGTCGAAATTTACGTAACCTAATTTTCCCGGAAAAAACGGAAACCTATGCAAAAAAATTCAAAATTCTGAGTTTCGACTTTATGTATTTCGACATTCTGAATCTCGATAATATGATAGAAAATCGCCAAATACCTTTTTTCTCGGTCTGCACCTTACGTCTCGTTTTTCCCTTAAAATTCGTTCTCAGACGTCCGCTTTTTGCTCTAGGGATTAGTAGCGGGTGGCCGGAAGTTCAGAGACAACGGTTGGGGACCCAAAAAATTTAGAGGCCGGGAAACACACGAATTTGTGAAATTCCGACATCAATTCTGGCACCAGCGCGTTATTCGATCAACCTTATTCATTTCAGCTGTTTTTATCATCTAAAAATCGATTTTCAGCAAGTCGAGATCCAGGAGTACATCCACTGCACAGGGTTCGAGCGATATCAGGTGAGAAAAAAGGGACAGCAATTATTTGCTTTTTGAAGGGAAAAGGCCGAAAGGCCGACGGCGAAAATGCCGACAACCAAAATGCCCACAACTAAAATGTCGAAAACCAAAACCCTGACACGCTGTCTTAAAGAAAAATTCAAACGTCGGGATTTTGGCTGTCAGGATTGCGAACTGTCGGATTTTTGGCTTGTCGGTATTTTTGCTGTCGGGATTTTGGTTATCGTTTTTGTTGCTTGTCGGGATTTTGGTGGATGTCGGCATTTTAGTCTGTCGGTATGATGACTGTCGGTTTTTGGACTGTCGGTGTTTTTTCTGTCGGGATTTTGGATATCGGTAATTTCGAATGTCGGTATTTTGAATGTCGGGATTTTGATATGTCGGCATTTTCGGTGTCGGGCTTATGCCTGGAATTCCTCTCTAAATTAGAATTAACTTAGTTGCTTAAAAATATGCAGGCATTTCTAGATCGGAACATTCCGCTCGGGGGCAGTGATGGGCGTTGTGAACGGCCTGGTGTTGGCCGTCCCGTTTTTGACGCTGGTTTTTCTGAACGGCGGCATTGTGCTGATGCTGCGGAAGCAGAACGTACAGGTAAGGAAATCGAAAATCTTAAAACAAAAATAATAAGTTTTACCACAAAAAACACATTTTTCGCACAAAATCTTCACAACAATAAAAAAACCCGAAAATAACGTGGCATTTTAGCAACTCCGCTCCCTGATCACCCAGCTGACGATGGGCAGCGACGTGATGAAGATACGGTCAGTTTGACACACAAAGAAGTCTTAAATTAATATGTATTCAATTTAAAATTACTAAACTTATAAAATTTACAATGCAAATTTTGGTTTAATAAGGGCCGCCGACGGCATGTCGATCCCCCGTCAACAAATTGCAACAGAGGGGGGGGCGCCCAGGGGGAGGCGCAGAGACATTATTCTTTCCGCGCGTAACCGATTGTCTATGCCGTCGGCATCCCTTTAAAGTTTTATTTTGTTAGTAGGATATAGAAAATTCTGAATTTGGCAAAGTGTGATAAAAACTATTACAGCCGCAAAAACATCCGGGCGGCCACGCACACGCTGCTGGTGATCATTAGCGCATACTTGCTCTCGAACTTCTTGAACTTGTGCTTGACCGTGGTGGAGTACATCGATCCAGGTTGGAATTTCATGTTTTTCTGTACCTTAAAAATTAGATTTCCTCCACATTCAGCACCCGTTAATCTACCAGCTGGCCGCCGACAGTTCGAGTCTTCTCACAGGTACCGTGAATAAATAAAATTTCTTTCATTTTTTTAATTGTAAATCAAATCTTCGAAAATAAAATTTATATTAAAGTTTTTATTCTACCTTGGCCTAAGAACTTTAAAAATGTTCATCGAAAAATACAAAAAATATCGAGTTTTCGACCAAAAATCGCCGATTTTAGGCCAAAATCTCGACTAAACCATTTTTTAAACTTTTTTTGCGGTGTTACACGTAAATTGATTTAAAAACACTATTAAAACGGTCTGAAATACGCTCAAGCTACCGTAACCTTTCAGTGGTCGGGAACGCGATACGATTCCCCGCGCATTTCCTGTCGAATAAGGAGATCCGGCAGCAGTTTGCGCTCATGATTTTCGGGGAACCGCGCGAGAAGGTCAGTCAAATTCAAAATAATGATAACTGAAAAACATTATGCAAAAAATTAAAAACAGATTAATAAATAGTAAAAAGATACAAAAAAAATAGGTTTTCGACCAGAAATGGAGCATTTTTCACAATTTCCAAAATTGTTTCGAAGTTTTTTAGTCTTTGCCATAGAAAATATAGTTAATTTTTAGTAAAAACATTATTAAAACACCTGCTATTAATTTACTAGGCATTTCAAAACACGTTTTAAGATTTTTCAAGTTTCATCATTTCATCCAAAACTGCTAAAAAGGTATATGTATCACCTTATTAAAAAATTTCCTAGTTCGTCTCCTAACAAGGAAGCACCTTTAATTTCATCGCTATCGCATTAAAAAAGTGTACCACTACCCCTTTAGGCCTATCAAGAATATACCGTGAAAGAAGCGGCACGACGGCGCTCCTCCGTCCAGGACAGCCCCTGGATTTCACTTCTGCTGTCGGCCACCCAGAATAAAGGTATAGTTTTGGGAATGTTAATGGGTTATAAAAGTTCTAAAATTATCTATCATTCTCTACAACTTTTTAGTCCACGAAGGCGATCCGCACCAAGCCCTCCTCTCTTCACGGCATCTCATCAAGCGCCATTCAGCCATTGCCATTTGTTGAAATAATGCCGGAATATTAATTCTGTTTGTCCTCTCTCTCTCTCCCCCCGCCCACCCCTCTCTCTCCTCTCTCTCGCTGTCTCTCTCGCTCTCGCTCGCCCTCTTGCTTTGCACTTTGTCTCTCTCGCTCTCTCGGTCTCTCGCTCTCGGCCTCTCGCTCACAGACTCCCTCTCTCCCTCTCTCTTTCTCTCTCTCTCTCTCTCTCTTCCTCCCCACTTTGTCTCTCTCTTTCTCTCGCACTCTCTCTCGCTCTCTCTCTCTCTCTCTCTCTCCTCTTCTCATCACTACGGGTCTATTCTATCGACGATCTTATTTCCATCAAAATGGGTATACTTGGTACAATCTCTTCGTATGCAATTCCATAATTTGTCCAAACCTAGGGAATAAAGTCTCCAAAATCAAATTTTATCCGCAAAATGGCAAGAAAATCGCGAATTTGTTTGTGGGGTCTCCTAGAAATCGATGAGCTTCGAGCGCTTCCGGTGGAGGCTGGGCAGCTTCTTGCGGCGCAGCGGCTCGGGGTACCTTAAAAAGAGGATAGCGTTCCGGTTATAGAAATATTTTAGAAAATCAAGTTTAAACTGTATTGGATTTTTACTTTTCCGAGTCGGTATTCGGCATTGAGCGCGGCTGGAACAGGGTGCAGGGCGGGAAGAGACGCAGAGAGGTCACCACCGGACGAGCTGGCAGCTGGAAGGGGATGTTGTAATGAAAGTTGGGAGCTGGGGGCTGGGAGTTGGGAGCTGGGAGCTCGTCAAAAACGTTCGCTGCTTCTTTTTTTAAATTGTTACCTCCGGGCGTACATCAGAGACATGTTCCTCCAAATCCCCCTCATCATCCCCAATCTCTTCGTAGATATTGGCAGAGGGGTGCTTTTTCAGGATTGACCTAATCGATACAGATGTCGATATGAGCATAGTAGCCCTGGCAAACCTTGGTAAGCTTCTGCCCGAAATTGTCTCCGGCGGTAGTGGCGGGGCTCTTGAATAGTCATTCGCATCGAAGAACACCACCGACGAGGCGTCGGGCTCGACGATGGAAAGTCGTTTCCGGATCACGGAAGAAGCCGTGGAACGTCTGGAAATGCACAAAATTTCATTGAGAAAATTTTAGTGTAAAATTGGGTGATTATAGAAAAAAAATAAATAAATAAAAATCCGTTACCTCGATGTAGTGGTTGAATGGCCATCAAACTTCTTCGGCTTCTTCTTGTACTTTGGCAACAGTTCGGAGAGGATGAGAAAGTCGGAGATGTCCGAGCAACCATCGTCAAAGCTCGCGTTCAATGGGTGGGCGTTGAGGCCGAACTCGGCTCTCGGGAATACGCCGGCTTCCTGGAATTGCTGAATTAGGATGGCAATAAAAAAATCGGTATTCTGAAGTTTAAATTCGATTTTGTTTGCTGTTGCTTGAATTCTGTCGTAGAAGGTCGTATCTTTCGATTCTCCATGCTGGAGCTACATTTTGGTATACCTTACAACTGCGTAGCCCAAAGGAGATCCGAGATACAAACCATAAAACCTACCACACGTGGAAATGAAAAGGATGACGTTGATGATGAGGCAATGGAGGGTCGACAGATGAATTGAGATCTGTCGAGTGAGAATATTGGGGGTCTTCTGCATGATCGACCGGAGAAGGTGGACGAGCCAGAGGTCGAGGCTGTCGAGGCAGAGGAGATGGAGCACGAGGGGGAGGAGCAGACGCTGAATTCGCTAGTTTTTCAAGACAACAACTTCCTCAGGAATTTTCTACAACTCGAAAGTACAAAGCTGAGTTTTTAACGGAGCCTACTAGTCTGAGCCTAACAACGCGCCGCGCCTATAGACGCAATTGCTTTGTGAATTTCCTACGTCGAATTACGCTTTTTCCTAATGCAAAGTCCGTACAACAGGCACGAACAACGTAGCGTCGCGTAGTACACGCCTTGGCTGCATGACGCTCCAACTAACGCCCCTACACTGTGCGCCCGAGCCTTAAATTCCACAAAACTTTGTAATTCACACACAAAGTAGGGGTGTTAAAAGGCGCCGCGCGTAGTGCAATACGGAACTACGCAATGCTCCAATCAACGCGGTAGCTCGGTTGTTTACCGAGCGGTTCCGAATAGGTTTATCTACGACCGAGTAGCGGGTTCAGCGCTGGTCTATGCATAAAAATTCATATTAATCCGTTAAGATAAAAGTTTGGTTCCCGATTTAAATTTCACCCCGTCTGAATTTAAAAGCCTTAAAGCTTGCTTTAAATTATATTTGAAACCAACCTGCCACGCCGAAAGACGCGCTTCAACCGTTCCATCGAGGTAATCGAGCGGAAAAATGAAGCCCCGGGTCACGGCCAGGTCATTCGTCCTGACGGGTGAAGCTGATGCGGTAGCGCGGAATGGGGGGGAGGGCGGCTTCAAAGACCGGAATTCCAATGAACCCTCCAATCGATTGTCGATTGGAGCGTTGCGTATTCTGGCCAATGGATGGATGACGATGCGGGCATTCAGATGACACTTTTGACAGCTACGCCACGATCCTATGTACAGCCGCGGCCGGGCGGGCGCGTGCTGTTGATTGCACATTGCACCCCCGCCGGCCAGGCGCAAGAATGTATCCTATGGAATTGCGGCTTTCTGGGGGGATAGAGTGTAAAAAGGAATGTGTGTAGTCGACGATGAGGATTTATTTGGTAAACATCAAAGTTAAGTTTTTTGAGGAAATTTCAGGTCCTTTCGCATTAGCGGGGGGGGGGGATTTGTGTTTTTTTCTATGATTCCAGAAACGTCTAGTGACGGAAAAAGTAAGTGTTTTAATAGTGTTTGTAGTAAAATTTAGCTGTATTTACAGCGGAAAACTATCTAAAAAAACCTTTAAAAAGGGATTTTGTGAGCAAACCGGCCATTTTTCGACGAAAACCTATATTTTTTGTATTATTTTAACAAAAATATTGTCAAGGTTTCTAAATGTTTTAATATAAAACGTAAAAACTTTACAAACTTCCTTAACAAATACAAAAACTCAATTTTTGACCAAAAAAGCGGGAAAAATGTGGTCCCCTCCCCCGTTAATGACAAAGTGCCAAATTGTATTATAGAGCTTTGAAACATAATTAAACCACATTCATAGCTTGAGCGTTAGTAAACTGTAATAAAAATACAAATATACATTTAACGTTGACAAGTCTGTCTTTGTGCATAGTATTCCTTCATTTTCGGCTGCCCGTTCACCCGGTTACGATAGTCGACAAGCTAGAACAACTTTTAGCATGTAAAAAACCTGACTACCGTCGGCCATTCTTTCGTATACCCCGGAATCGCCAGCTCAAAAACGTCCATGTGATTCACCAGCGTCAAATCCACCCAGGATAATTTATCGCCAACCTAAACCTGGTTTAAAGCTATTTTCCGTTTCAAATTACCATATATCCGGTTCCTTCCTTTTCTAATAAATCGGCCAGCTGCCCCAGCCATAATTTGCGCGCTGGGTCGACCGTGGCATCAAATTCTTTTTTCTAAAAAACGCCTAAGTCTCCGAAAACCCATCCCACCTCGTCGCCCGGGAAAAATTTGAGGTGGATCCGGTACCAGGGGACGATTTTGTCGACGTAATCCTGAAAATTAGCCTCAAAAAGGTGGACAGAAACGCGATTTCTCGAAAAGAAATTGCTAAATACTTATGCTAGCAAAAGCAAAATTTTCTAACAAAATTAGGGGCACGGGGAGTCGAAATATAGCCCTTTCGGCCTGGTTAGGCTCTGATTTTACCAACGAATTCTTAAGAACGACCCCTAAAAGCCCCTAGAAAAGCAATTTCCGGAAAATACCCTCGCCACATCCCTGTTCTACCAAAAAGCAAAAGGTTCCCTAAAAAATTGCCCGAAAAAGCAAAAATTAGGGGGCACACGGAGTTGAACCATGGACCTATCGGACTGCAGCCGATTGCTCTACCACTGAGCTATACCCCCGGGTGGGAGAGGGGTGAGCGGGGGGCCTCTTGTCCCCAGGGCGAGGGGACGGGCTGGCTGACGCAATCCCCGAACACGGCTCGGTCAGCCTAGTGGTCAGCGCTCTCTTCACTCTCGTCAGGAACCCTCTGGGGTGAGTTGAATAATTTTATAGAAAGTTTTATATGTTTGGTATATATAAAAAAGCAGATTCATTAAAAAATAGGTTTTAGATCCTATAAACTTTACAAAAAACAAGGTTTGTATTTTTTCTACTATTTTATAGTTACCTATTCAAAATTACGTTTAAAAACCAGCATTTGTCCAGTTTCGGGTGAAAGTTTTGACGGTTTTTAGCTTTTATATTTTATAAAATTTATCTATTTTTATAGTTTTTTGCTAGTTCAGGCCAAAAAATTTGCTTAATTATTTTCTCAGGAATTTCTGAACATTTTTACACCCAAAAACAAACCGTGTACGAGTCGCAAATCGCGTCCATTCGTGCGTTGTCAAATTCGTCGCTGGCTGCGTAGCCTAGACTCGTTTTTAGTGACCTTACGTATTCGGGCTACCAAATTTCCGGGCAAGGTATCGCGTAATGGCCAGCGTTTGGGGCAACGGCTTTCCATCCACCTCCAAAACCGGGGCCTGGCCGAATACGAATACGGGATCTGAATTTTATTTAAATTATAAAGTTATTATAACATAAAATACACTTTGAAAACCGAATTTTTTTTGAAATAAAGTTATTATAAAAAAATAAAATGCACTTTACAAACCTTTCTTGACTTCCGGCCATTCGGGGATCTCCCACCGGCGATCCTCGTAGGGTTGGTCTGCCAAAAAGAAGAGCATCCGGATGGGCTCGGCTCTAGCGTAGAGGTTGAAATAGTGCAGTTTGTACTGGGGCATCCTAGGAACGTTTTAGATTTCCTGTAAATGTCAATTCCTTTAAAACCGTAGTTCCTGTAAAAAATAATGGCAAAAAAGCTCTGAAAAAGGGGAGCCGGTATTTATACACTTGGCGGGCCACGGATTCGAAACCAGCGAAAAATTTCGTATTTTCGAAGCTCGCGCGAAGGTAGTGCACACTAAAACGTGCCCATTACGCCGCGGTGAGGGGCGATCAATGGACAGAAAAGCCGGAGACGGGCAGCAAATAATTCGCCTGCGAGCACAAAGTAGCAGAAAAAGGGCGGGTACAGAACACAAAAACGGCACTTGACGAGCACTTACACCTAATATAATTCATTTTTAATCGACAAAAAAGTTTTGAAAATTGTTTACATTGTTTGACTGTAGTTTGTCGATATCCTCAAATAATGATTGTGTGAAGCTTCTAATTTTAATAACTTTTATTAATGCAATAAATATGGCAAGCGTAATTGTCGAGCAGTCTTCCGTGGATGTCAGCGGCTTCCTGGCTTGTAGGTAGAGGCCTCCTTGTCGATCGGGTAGCACTTGTTCTCGGCCTCCTCGCACACGTGGCTAGCCGGGCACTTCAGGTTCACGCATGGGCCGATGGCCTCGGCGCCCTTCAGGCGAATCTCTGCAAAATATTGTCTTTTAGGCAAATTATAATTGTAAATTAACGACGTTTCCCCCGCTGTTCTGTCGCCGATACTTACGGGGTGGCCGGATGCAGGCATCTTCGACGCACGAGTAAGACTCGGGGCACAGCAGGTTGACGCACTCGCCGACAATCTCCACTAAAACGCAGCATAAACATGTATCTAAAAGACAGGGCCAAAAAGGGCGGTTTTTTAGTATGTTCTGGAACCCGGGCTTTTCAAATTTCGATCAAGTTCTCACCCAAAATCTGAAATTTTCGACTTTTCTAAGGTTTTAATTAGTTTTTCCGCTCGAAATCGAAAATAAACTTTACTAAAAAGTCGATTAAAATCCTTCTTTAGACGCTACTATACATATCAGGACACATACGAAAAGTTTTAGATACAAAAAGAGTATCTATTTTTTCAAATGAGTTTTTATAAAAAAAACAAGCACTCACACGTCTTCCCAGCAATGCCGATGCACGTTTTGTCCTCCTTTCGGCAGCTGTATCCACTGGGGCAAATGGCCTTGTTGCACGGTTCGGTGTCACGGGTGGCGACTAAAAGTTCGATCCGTAATATTCGTAGGCGTCTAAAAACCCACCAGCCAACCCAACGAGGCAAACGAGCGGGGCGATGCGGAGCGCGTACATGGTGTTGCAGTGAAGTGCTGATGCGAAGTGATGTGAAGATGCCGAGGGAACGGCTGTTGTTATGTGATGCCGTGGCCAGGGCCCTTGGCCCGCCCATTCCGGTCCATCGCTTTAGATGGCGATGGAATGATTGTAGTGGGTGGAACTGGCCGCCCATGTGGATCATAGAATGGCCGGGGCCCCCGTCCTAAAGGCCGATTTGTTTGTCCGTCCTCCTTCCGATCCGCACGCATGTATGTACATCCCGGAAACTATGTACAAATACGCTGTTTTCCGCACCGCACCCCCCGCGGATTTGGCCAAAACCGGAACGCTTTCCGTCAATCGTCTTATGAAGAAGGTTTGATTCGCTGGTTTTCGGACGCAGTGCGTCGCCAAATGGATTTACCGTCATTTCCGCCATAATACCAAAATTCCAACCCTCATAACTGGAAAATTCGATGTCTGACAGAAATGCTTGACTTAACCGGCGAAAAATGCAAATCACAACACGGCGAAATCCCGCAAGTGAAAAGCACGCTACTATAAAAACTGTGTAACAGCTCATTTTAAAATCGGTCCATTATGCCATCTGGTGAAATGGATAGTTTCGGAGCGGTGACCCGGATCGTGCTAATTAAAAATACCGGCATCGTCAACCGGTTGATAACTGCGCTTTAACGTTAGTCTCTGCAAAATTCAGGAGAAGAAATCAGTCGGAAAATTTTATTCACATTCACAAATACAAATAGGTCAAAGATCAATTCGAGTCAATGCCGCTCAGCCGTCAGTGTTGAGGCGGGCCAACGCCGCGTTAGTCGAGCGCACCCGCTCCGCGCAGATCAGCTGGCACTTCTCCCAATAGTCCAACTAAAGGAAAAATCATTTGGCAAAGCGCCGAAATCAATACCGATTGCTGGATGACCTCACGGGTTCGTGGCATTGGCAGCGGGAGCCCTGCCCAAGGGTTCATCTCAGCATCCACCACAGGCTCCCGGGCCAAATCAGAAGGCACGGGTGCCTAAAAAAAAGTTAAAAAGAGCAGAAAATGATGGCATACGGGGATTGTGAAGAACGCCGAGGACACCGAGCGAGTGTAGCTGTATTCGGTGCTGAGATCTGAGGTCGATTCCGTGGAGCTCGACGTGTTGCTGTTCTGGCGGAGGAGCTTCTGCTGAGCGATCGGGCACGAGGCCAGCACCTTCCTGCAAACAAAAAAAATAGAAAATTAACTGCAGATATTTTACATGGCATCACTGCAGGCCTTGCAGTGACATCCCTCGACACCATCGGCGTAGAAGTCAAGCAGCAGCGACGAGATGGAAGTGGCCGCCGTGGTGATGCTAGAGTTGCTGCTGCGAGCCATCAGCTGCTGCATCGCCAGCGGGCATGCGGCCATCGACAAGCTGAAAGATATTGGAATCCAAAGGCAAAACCGGAGCCTACATGACACGGCAGCAAGCCGAGCAGTCGCAGCCATCGACCTCATTCGGATAAAAGCTGGTGCCAATCAGCGACGCGTTGGAAATGGTATGCGAGGCCTGCGACTCGATCGAGGTTGGGATTGGCGTACGGCCGGCCGACGAGTGCGTGCTTAGCTCCGAATCCTCAGTCGTCTCCGCGTCGTACTCGTAGAAGTGGGCCTGCGATTCGAACTGCACCGAGCCAATCGGCGACTCCAAATCGGCCATGTAGCCGTCATCAGAGTCGACCGAAACCGTTGAGGCGCTGCTGAAGAAGTGGCGGCAAGAGACAGTCGAAGTCGTGGATGCAGAGTTTTCGGCTGGAAAAATGCGAATAATTAAAATACTAATATCAATACCGGATGGAGTGTTGCGGAACTGGTCGAAGTACCGGCTGCCCATCAACACGGCAAAGTCAGCGCCACCCTTCAACACTGGCGGTGCCGGAGGAGCTGTAAAAAGGTTGACAGAAGTAAATAAAAAATACAAACCGCAGATGGCAAGAAGCGGCTGACGGAGAAGGGGCAGGGTTGAGATCAGCTTCTTGTCGAGCGGCAGGTCGATGGTGTTCACAACGTGGGCCGGGGTTGGCGCGCAGAGGTGGCCATTCAGACCGAGATCGGCACGGGGACTCGGCAGCTCTGAAAAAAATAGAATGCACACGCGGTCAGAAAGCAGAAAACACGCAAAAAAGTGCGCTTACCAAACGGCCAGGTGATGGCCAGCTGAGGAGCGTTGATCGTCGGCAGCTCAACCGAGCTTACGGGCGGCGCCGGTTTGTTGGCAGCTTTGTATCCGGCGATGATCTGGGCCCACGGCAGCCTGGCGGGGCTGAAGGCGGGCACGGCCCTGCGGCGATTGGCCTTCTTCTGCCGCGCGGCAAGACGGAGGTTAGTGAGGGTCTAAAACAAAGTTTCGACCAAAAAAATCAAGCTCACCATTTTGTGGTTAGTAGCGGAGGTTAGTCGTTGTCGAATGTCGAATGAATAATCTCTTGGGGTAGAGCGGCATTTTTATACTTGAGAAAAGCCATGTTAATTGACATTGCCTTTATTCTACTATATTTATGTAAATCTAAAAATAATGTTTAGTATTTAGCGGCTTTTTGCTCGAGCACGGCTGAAAATCCGAATCGACTACGCGTTGATCTTACAATCCGGGAGGGGCAAAAGCGCCCATAGGAGCCGGGCGTAGCGCGCGTCAAAAGTGTAAGCTCTTAAACTTTTTCAAACCGACTTCATATTGAAAACTCAATATCAATTATTGCAGAGTAGAATTTTACGTTTCGAATCATACCAAAGACAGCAGGTTAGCCCTCCGAAATACCACTTTTCACAAAGTCGCCAACCAAAAGCGCCTTCGTTAGCATACTTTCTAAATACATTTTGTTGGTGCTTGGTATCATTATAATCGCCACGTTCCTTTCTACGCATTTCGAACAAGGTTTTTTTAAGATTCGCCTTAGTTTTAAAGTTAGGAGGCTTAGATGTTTTGTCCCGATACATTTTCTTGACGAACGGAATGCTTCGTTGCCTAGCCCTTACACCGCCAAGACTTCGGGGCTTGGAGCGCTAAAACCATAAAAGACCGCCCGGAAACCAAAAAGACACTGTGGTTTAAAGACCAAAACTGAAGTCCTTTTTAGCTTTATCAGCCCTTTTCCTGTTTTTTTTTAATGTACCATTTGGAATTGCAGTTTTAAAGTGTCTCATTGCTGTGATTTTTATCTTGTTAGAGTGATTAGGCAGTTTTTATTGGTGAGCACCTGTGATCAAATCGAGACCAATGTTTTTGTGGGGATTTTTTGCATTCCTAAGCGCGGTAGCCGGAAGCCTCGGTCTTGGCCTTCTCCGCAGGGGGCGGGCTGCTCGGCGGCCTTGGGGGCCTCCTCGGCTGGGGCAGGGGCGGGAGCGGGAGTCTCGGCAGGGGTGGCAGCAGGAGCAGGAGTGACGGCCTCGTCTCCGTAGCTGTTGCTCCTCTTGGCACGGTATCCAGAAGCCTCGGTCTTGGCCTCTCCGCAGGGAGCGGGCTGCTCAGCGGCCTTGGGGGCCTCCTCAGCGGGGGCGGGAGCAGGGGCGGGGGTCTCGGCGGGAGTAGCAGCGGGAGCGGGGGTCACAGCTTCATCTCCGTAGCTGTTGCTCCTCTTGGCACGGTATCCCGAAGCCTCAGTCTTGGCCTCTCCGCAGGGAGCGGGCTGCTCAGCGGCCTTGGGGGCCTCCTCAGCCGGGGCAGGAGCGGGAGCGGGAGTCTCGGCAGGGGCGGCAGCAGGGGTGACGGCCTCATCTCCATAGCTGTTGCTCCTCTTGGCGCGGTATCCGGAAGCCTCAGTCTTGGCCTCTCCGCATGGAGCCGGCTGCTCAGCGGCCTTGGGGGCCTCCTCAGCGGGTGCGGGAGCAGGGGCAGGGGTCTCGGCCGGGGTGGCGGCAGGAGCGGGAGTCACGGCCTCGTCTCCGTAGCTGTTGCTCCTCTTGGCACGGTATCCAGAAGCCTCGGTCTTGGCCTCTCCGCAGGGAGCGGGCTGCTCAGCGGCCTTGGGGGCCTCCTCAGCGGGGGCGGGAGCAGGGGCGGGGGTCTCGGCGGGAGTAGCAGCGGGAGCGGGGGTCACAGCTTCATCTCCGTAGCTGTTGCTCCTCTTGGCACGGTATCCCGAAGCCTCAGTCTTGGCCTCTCCGCAGGGAGCGGGCTGCTCAGCGGCCTTGGGGGCCTCCTCAGCCGGGGCAGGAGCGGGAGCGGGAGTCTCGGCAGGGGCGGCAGCAGGGGTGACGGCCTCATCTCCATAGCTGTTGCTCCTCTTGGCGCGGTATCCGGAAGCCTCAGTCTTGGCCTCTCCGCATGGAGCCGGCTGCTCAGCGGCCTTGGGGGCCTCCTCAGCTGGTGCGGGAGCAGGGGCGGGGGTCTCGGCCGGGGTGGCGGCGGGCGCGGGCGTCACGGCCTCATCTCCATACGAGTTTCCTCGCTTGACGACTATAAAGAATCATTGGAGCAATAATGGAATGCGCACTGAAAGCTCCGTCCGGCGTGATAGGTTCGAACAACAAGGTCATGCTCAAAAGCTATATTTTAATTTGGGTGATAAAAATTCGAAAAAACTATTAAACCTAGAGGATACTTTTTCTGGGCCAATATAATAAAATTAAGCTTTGTGTTTTTACTAACGGGGTTAACTAAAGGGTCAAACAAGCTGACTTACGGTGGCGAGAGGCGGCGACAGCGCAGAGCGCGAGGAAGACGGCGAGGACCTTCATGGCAGCCGATAGACTCTCTGTTAGTGACCATCGAGCGGCTTAAATAGATGCCC